GACCTATTATTAAAGGGGGGGAATTATATCATAATATGTTATACTGACTGCGCTACACGCAAGGCCTGGAGAGCCTGTTGAAGGCGAAGTTGAGAAGCGCAAGCCTAAACGCCACACGTTACCTAAAGCTTCTACAGGCAAGGACTTTGCATAAAATGTGACAGGCGGGGTTCCTAAAAACAAGGGACTTTTTCTTGGGGCTCCCAGTAAGAAGGCTTATAGTAGTTGGTCCCCTTTTTTACCAAAATGAACTCTCTTCAGAAGCACCGACCTTACGTTGTGATTTGCAGGGTCTGTCTTGCTAAGCACTGAAAATCTGATTGATTTGTACTGCTTATTCCCAAGTGTTGCAAAGCTTGATGAGCACCGCAGGGACTCAACAGCCAATGAGTGTAGGGTCTCTGTGAATGTGTATATGTATATGTATATATCTATATGTGTATTTATACAGGTGCCATATAGGGGTATTAGAGTACTACCGGAGAATCCTATGGACGAGACAATGGAAAATGAAATGGAAAGTTGGGATTTGTAGCCGTTCTGTGGGGACACCCAAGCTAGACTCCTCCATAAACAAATACAAATATGATCCTTGCTTTGCGGACTTGCAAAAGAAAATGTCCCTAAGTTACATAATATCACTACAACCTATACTGTTATCTGTACCCTCATAAACATAATTATACAATCCCTACATCCATTTTGACGGCACCCATGATATGGGCTTCGATTGCCAGGGCCAGGGCCATGTCCAGCAAAGCCAGTTGGGCCAACATCGAGGCAAAGAAGGCAAAAACCAGCAAACCAGTGAAGACCAAAAAAGGCCACTTACAAATATCATGATTGCTACAGTATGGCAGTAATTTCAATATTACTACTGTTATAGGGGAACTGACGCGAACGAGGATCTTTCATCATCCAGCTGTGCCAACACAAGAGACCAACATTGGGGTGTCGCGCCACCCATTCTCAGAGGAGACGCCTCACAAATGCAGTCTGCGGATTCTATGGAGCGACAAACATGTGACTGTTGCCAAGACAAAGGTGCCTTGAAGATTTGACGGAGCACGCTGGCATTTGGCTGCAGTGCGACGTAGAGACAAGCCTGTTTCAAGCCCAACGAAATCACCAGCGCATCTCTCTCACATAAATGCGAGTGCAGCTTTCTTGAAGCTGGACTGGCTGCAGGCCACATGCCAAAGCACACTCCACCTAGTGCTTACCACTGAGGATCCTCATTCACATTTGCGGACACAAGAACACAGTTACATGCCATTCCCACCCCGGCAGAAGCGCAGAGACTGGTGACAGCCAGCGCCCTTCACGCACAGGCGGCACAGCCATCGGCAAGGCGCCTCAGAAATGCAGGACCGAGGAAATCGGAGAGTGAAATTTTCTGTCGCCCTCGAGGATTCCACTCATGATAATGGGAGCTGCTTGACCGATGTGTCAGTCTCAGAGCTAGGCAAGCAAGGTCTGCAAGCTTGGCATCAAAATGCTCAGAAGGCACACGTCAAGAGCACGATGGAGGCCGCACGGGCCATGCATCAGCGCCAGGGATTGTAGATGCCTGCGAGGCCAAGGATTGCTTTGGTAGGCTTGAAATTGAAACCCGGCCCACTGCCAGTTCAATAAGCAACCAATGTACACGGATACTTCATTCTGGCAGCATAGGCATAGCCGAAATGCTGGTGACTGGTGTGTCGCAACTGGGCGGGCATCAACAAGGGGGGACTTTCACATCAGCAAAGTATCGTCAAAAGTCGGATTCAGTCTCCACGCCCGCACGCAATCACTGCAAGGCATCACGGGACTTCAAGCTAGGGCATCGCAAATCCTAGCTTTAGAAACGTCACTTCTCGCCATCTAGTGCTGCAGCACCCTACATTCCGTACACGCAGCCGACCGTGTGTCGCGGACAGCCATCCAAACAAGCTTGAACTTGGCGACCGTCAAAAGAGTGCAGCCGCAAGCATCTAGTGGAACGGAAAGAACACACTTTTGACATCCGTTTGCATCCCCCTCACGTCTTATTTAGTTGCTTTATATAGAGCAAGCTTGCGAAGCACACGCACTTCCGAGAATCCTCGATGTTCTCATTGGCGCCGAAACTGATCCGGCCCGCCTACATGAGTGACCATGAGCAACTGTAGTTTAAACCAAGTTCTAACTAGGCTGCTTTCCTTCTTCCACTTTCTCGGCAGCTCTCCACAAAGCAATGCTGTTGACATCATCACTTTCTGGGTTGTAGGTCTGGCTTCTATACCTGCCACTATACACGTTCATACTGTTCAGCTGAGCGTGCGGAGGTTGATATTCAAGAAAACACTCGTGCAACCTACATGAGTCACAATGAGGAACTATGTTTAATCTGGTTGTACAGTTGTAGATATTTGTAGATTTTTCTTCTGTATCTCAGCACTGCTCTCATTGTCGAACCTTCGAGGTCAAAATATCCTTTTTACCATCCTTGTGACCTCCTTATCATGCCTAAACACTAGAGACTTCGCTACCATTACAACTGCCATTGTTCTCGCTATCGCTCCCCAGCCCTCCTCTACGGAAGTGCCAAGGGCGGCTGCCAACTTCCTGCAGCCGAAACATGTGCTCAGGGCGAAGGATGTAAAATTTGCACATGAAGGCCTAGGTCCGTTCTTCAAGCGAATTCGCTTGAAGGATTTGGGGCACTAGACATTTGGCGGAATGTGTGAATCCCAGGCTCACAGAGGTCAGGCAAGCACTTGTGGGCAGCAAAATCTGCAGTCCGTTACCGCGTGTGGATTGTCCAGCAACATGAGCCCTGTTCTTAAGATGATCGTTGTGACTGCTCCAAAAGTGTACCGGACAACATTCTGCAGATGACATGCCTGCAACTTGGATCTGCTGAAGCTTGCTAGCAACCTCTCAGTTCTGCATCGAAGGGCGGGGGGACCGAGGCAGACTCCATCAGCTCCTCGCAGTCTGCCGGCGAATAGTTGGAGATGCCTGTACATAAGCTAGCTGCGGTGATGATGAATCGGCAAATGCAGAAAGATCGTATTGCTATGAGCAGCCACAAGTAAAAAAACTTACACATCAAGAACCGAAGGTAACTGACTTGTTGCCACTGCAATGGTCATGCACGACTGCTAGAAAACGCTTCGCCTCCGCAACAACCACGGACTGAGCGCACACACACCAACCACGTTTCTTGCAGACGGCGAACGGGTGTTGCACAGGCTGTCTTAACTGGAAAAGCGTTCTTTTAAAAACACAATATGGACGCCACCCGTGCAGGTCAGATGCTGCAGTCGGCACATGGAACCGGGCAAGTTTACTTAACTGTCCTTCAATTGCTGGAGGCTGCGTATTGCCTGTACCTCCGCAGAGCAAGCCGTGCAAGTATGAACACGAATTCGATGGAAGATCATGAGTCATGCAATATGTCTGTCGAGACAAAGAAAATATCAGCACCGACAACAATTTGTATAGGTCTGCATGCAAGCATGCGAGTGGCCCTACAAATTCCAGGAACGCATCAAGGATGTGAAGACGGAGTGGGATGTGCGCGAGCTGCTCATCCCAGGGCTCAAGAAGAAGCTGGCACCCTTGGCAGAGGTGGCACCTCTGCCAAGGGCCTCTGGGATGATCAGCAGGCGAACATCCCAAGCCGTCTTCACATCCTTGACGCGCTCCGCGAATTTTCATGCGATTCATGCGGCCAAAGTTGGTTGCGTCCCTAACGCGACTCCCTACTCCCTGTGTGCTGCAGGAGCTCCTGCTTCGCTGGCTGGCAGAGAATCCCGATCGGATGTATGTCCAAGGCCTGCACGGCCTGCCCGGTTGGCCCGGGCAGGCCATGAAGGCCTTGGACATACATCCGATCCGGATGCTCCGCCAGCGGGCGAAGCAGGAGCTCCTCCAGCACACAGGAAGGGACGCAACCAACTTTGGGTGCAGGGACTGGGTTTGTGGGGGCTTGCAGGGCAGGAGTTCCAGGCCTTGCAGGCTTCCCGCCGCTCTTCAAGCTCCGCCTCCTTCGCCTCCTTGATGCCGAAGTGCTTGCCGCTCATCCTCGCCAGCATTTTTCTGCGTGCCACGGACTTCATTGTGTCCAACTCGCTGGTCGACACCTCAGGCTTCCCTACGTTGATCCATCGGGATCCTGCGTGCGCTTTTCTCTTGGACTGAGCCCAGCGCCATCACGAAGCTCGGCAGACAAAAGCGGCAGTGGCTTTTGAAAGAGCCCCTTGGCTCGGATTCGCTCGGGCCAGAAGCTGCAGGCAGCCATCCAGAAAGTCTTGGCTGAGGAGTCTGGCACCAATCAGCATGACTTCGGCCTGTGTGCAACAGCTACAGCTGCATGGCACGCCTCAACGCATCGCGCGGCCGATGCTGGTCTCCTGGAGGTTTGGCAGCCCTGCCCCACAAAGAATTAATACCATCTACTGTACTTCCCAAGCAAGACCCATGAAAGGTGCGGGGTGGATGTCATGGCACCCAGCATGGATTCGTCAGGAACTTGTGTCATATGTCCAAGCCACAATGCCCACAAGAACTCCACCCTCATGATGCCCTAAGCTCGTCACTCCACACTCACCGCATCATGCCAACTGGGATGTCTGTCAACGGGTCCTTTGGTGCAAGCCTGTGGACATGTACAAATCGCCCTAAAGTCCCGACGATTCATCCATCTGCGAAGACCAGTACTCCGCGGCAGGTTTGGAACGAAGTGCATTCCCCATGGTCCCCTTTTTCACAAGGACCTTTAGAACAACCCCAAAATGCTGACACTGCACCTTCACAGCACCTGCAAGTTACAGAATACCTCCCAAGCCATGTATGCAGCACCACACCCGCTTCCTGACAGCTCACTCAGTCCTGACTCACACTGCAGGATGCAATGTACTGCACGCGTGAAGAAAGGCCCACCTCACCAGACATTCATGAAAAAATCAACCAAGGTGCTGATGTTGAGTGGTGGCTTGTTGAAAGATACAGCGCTGGTGTTGAAAGAAGTTGCGCGGCCAGGCTGAACGACGTGCATCATGCTGCAACTACTACTGTCCTAGCACAGGCTCCACACTCCCACGCAGATCATTTCCGGCTCGGGGCCACAATTATCTCATAGAAGCCCTGCGATTTGTCTGCACACTTGCTTTCAATGCATTTGTAAGCTCGTCCAAGCATGCTGCTACCGACACACACTGCGAAGTCAACCCCACAAAAGTCTGACATGTACGGCAGTTGGCGAGCAAGCTGAGAAAGATCGTGAAAACTTGGGACAAGCCTTTCCACGGTAATTCATAAAACAAGAAGAAACCTTTCGCTCTGCTGACTTGAGCAGAGTTGAGACGTGAAGGCTGAATCCTCAGCCAAGGAATGCGCACGGGTTTCTGTTCGCGCGTCAGATGTAACGTTCGTGCCGCAGTTGAACGCGTCCATCCCCATGCGTGCAGCTGTTAGATCTTTTGTAAAGGTGCCTAAATTTGCCTAAAGCAGTCTCGACCGCAAAACATGCGCTGAAAGAAGTTGCGCACCTGTACGTGCTTGCATTGTGCGATATGGCTCGACCTCGATCACGCGGCAGGCTAAATGTGAAATCTGACACCTGGATACAGAGTATCCCTCCCCTCCAGCACTCTCCTGCGCCCTACACACTTCTGGAGATGACATTGGAAGACCGAAGCCTCCTCGAACACATCACAGAAATTGGAACTGGATGCTTACACAACAAGTTACAAAAAGTATCCCAAGACTTTTCTGCGGCACATGCGGCACGCCCCCATTCACTGGCATCCCGGCCATTGGCCGATGACTTAGTCTCTGACCCACACGGCAGACTGATGAAGTGCATCACGTCTATGAACAAGCCCCACCTCACAAGACATTGACAGCCAACAAGCAAGGCCACTGAGCAAAGATGCTGATCTGGAGTTTACAGCTCTGGTTCCGTGTTCCGTTAGACTATGCGTGGCCTCCACAGCAACCGCGGGCTAAGCACACGCACCAACCACTTTTCTTGCAGACGGCGATCGCGTGTTGCAAAGGCTATCTTAACTTGATAAATGCTCTTTTGAAACACAAGATGGATGCCACCCGCGCAGGTCAGTTGCGGCACCGGGCACATGGAACGGGGCAAGTTAAATTATCTGTCTTTCAGTTGGCGGAGGCTGCGCATTGCCTGTACCTCCGCAGAGCAAGCCAAGCATGCAAGTATGAACACGAATTCGATGGAAGATCGCAGGTCATGCAAAAATGATATGTACATCTTGACCGCCTCACTCTCGGCAGCCTCACCTGATGCAGGGACACACTCTGCCAGGAATCTGCCACACATGCCATGTAGAGCCCTTGCGCGCAGAAGCCTGGCAGCTTGAGAACTTTGAGAAAGATGCTTGGCTGCCAGCCCAAATTCCACAGCACCTCCTAGAATCCTGTGGAACGCCGACTTGGCGTTCCCTGAACTCTGAGACATGTCAGCCGGGTGACGCCCAGGTCCACAGTGCTCCAAGCATCGACTTTCCTGGGTCGGAAGCTCCATCATCTGTTTCCTCCGCCTCGGTCTAACAACGGGCGCGGGAGCGGGAAGGACACCATGCAGTGGGCGGTATAGTGGACCCTGTAGCCTGTCAACAGCCGGGCTCCCGACTCCCCGGCGTGTCTCACCCCGGAGTTGAAGCTGAACAGATTTAAACTTTTAGGGCACAGAGAGCTGTGCCATGGAGGCGCTGCCAGGATCCATGTCCACGGGGCCTCTTTGGGTCCCCAGGACTCCCAGGAGCCAGAACATGCAGAGCATGCTCACCAGAATGTGGAGCCACAAAGGGCGCCTTGGCGCCCTGGCCTTCTTCACCTTCTTCACCTCCAAAATCGGGGGCAGGGCCACCCCTGGCACCTCTGCCAAGGGCGCCAGCTTCTCCTTTAGCTCCGGGATGATTAGCAGGCGAACATCCCAATCGGTCTTCACCTCCTTGGTGCGCTTCTCGAACTTGTCCGGCCACTCGTATGACGGCAGCGGGGACAGCTGCGGCTCCAGGCTGACAAGCAAGGATGCCTCGGCTACAAATGACGCAGCGAGCCTAACTCTGCAATCACAAAAACTCGAACCCAAACCTCAACAGTCCGCGGCGCGATGAGCCGCGGGAAGAGCTCCGGCTCATCTCCACGGAGCACGTGCTCCGCCAACTCTCCCACGGCCTCCAACCCGAAGGCCAAGGAGAAGAGGGACCTCAAAGCTTGGCACGCTCACACTGATGGCCAATCCGTCCCCGGGTCGGGGAGAGCAAGTGTTCTGAGCTCCCTCAACCACCCAAGCTCTACACTGTTTCAAAAACACTAGACATGGCTGCAAAACTGCAAAAGCAGAAGAAGATGAAGAAGAAGAAGAAATCAGGGGACTACTCACTGCTGCGTCCGCGCGGCACATGCCATCCGAGCATGGTGCCTGCAAACATCACGCACGCAGGCTGTGTGACTCTTTCAGCCGAACACCAAGTGCGAGGTGATCCCCACTGCCTCCCACAACTGCCTGGATCTCCAGGCATTCGTCGCAAAGGTCTGCGAAGTTCGGGCTCGCCGCCCGCACGAGGCGCCACCTCAGTGTCGGCACACGTGGGGATCTTGCACAGCTGTCCTGCCAGTGTGCCAAGGTGCGTGGCATCGATT